TTGTATGAGCCCCTAATAAAACGATTAAAAAATAAAATAAAAACAAACAAAAAAAATTGAATACTGAATAAAGATGACCAAAGAAGAATTGATGCATTTGAATTCTGGTGCTGGAGGAAAATGTTGAACATACAATGGACAAAGGACAAACTCATGCATCTTGGAAGAAGTATGGCCAGAGTGCTCCTTAGAGGCAAGGATGGCAAGACTTCCTCTCATGTGCTCTGAACACGTTGTCAGGAGAGACCAGTCTCTGGAGAAGGATATCATGTTTGGTGAAAATGGAAGGGCAGTGAAGGAGGGGAAGGGCCTCAAGGAGGTGGATTGACACCGTGGCTGCAACACTGGGCTTAAGCACAGGAACAATTGTGAGGATGCTGCAGGACCAGGCAGTGTTTTGGTCTGTTGTGCATAGGGCATTATGAGTCAGAACTGACTTAATGGCACCTAACAACACAACCTACGTTTATTTTGGTTTAAACAATTTTGAAATCTATGCATGGCTTTTTCATAATAAGCATTTTCCAGGAACTTACTGAAGACTCCCTGTGTGTGTGTGTATATGTGTGTGTGTGTTTATATCTATCTATATACCTATCTATCTATATATATATCAACCACCTACTGCCATCAAGACAATTCTGACTTAGATCTAAACCTATGTGGGGTTTCCAAAACCATAAATCTTTGTGGGAGCAAACAGCCATAACGTTCTTCCTCGGTTCGACTGGTAGGTTTGACCTTGAGGTTCGCAGCCCAGCTCTAGGCCACAATGCCACCAGAGCTCCGCATGTCGTACTATTCTTCAACTTGCTTTTACTGCCTGAGTCATTTTAAAAATATTCTTCCATGTCAGGACACACAGAACTATTCCAGTAACCAGTTGCCACCAAACTGATCCCAGATCATGGGAAGCCTGCATGTGGGAGAGTAGAGTGCTATACGGTTGTAAATAGCTGATTTTTCAGCAGTAGATCATCAGGTCTTTTTTTTAAATCATTTTATTGGAGGATTGTACAACTCTTATCACAAGCCATGCATACATCCATCGTGTCAAGCACATTGGTACATTTGTTGCCATCATCATTCTCAAAACATTTGCTTTCTACTTGAGCCCTTGGTATCAGCTCATTTTCCCCTCCCTCCCCGCTCCCACTCCCTCATGAACCCTTGATAATTCATAAATTGTTATTATTTTGTCATGTCTTACACTGTCCGACGTCTCCCTTCACCCACTTTTCTGGTGTTCATCCCCCAGGGAGGGGTTTATATGTAGATCCCTGCAATCCGTCCCCCCTTTCTCCGCCCTGCAATCCATTCCCCCTTTCTCCGCCACCTTCCCTCCACCCTCTCAGTATCGCCACTCTCAGCACTGGTCCTGAGGGGATCATCTGTCCTGGATTCCCTGTGTTTCCGGTTCCTATCTGGACCACTGTACATCCTCCATCAGGTCTTTTTTCTGAGGTGCCTCTGGATGGACTCAAACCTCCAACCTTCATACTAGCAGCTGAGCTCATGAACCATTTGCACGACCCAAGGCTTCTACAGAACTACGAAATTGTTCTATTTTCACATGGTTGTGGTTCATATCTTGGCTATTCCATAATATATGAATCCTTCCTCTCTGTTGTTTAAGGAGCCCTGGTGGCGTGGTGGGTTCCAAGTGGGACTGCTAACCACAAAATCAGCGGTGGGTTTGGAAGCTAGCCGTGCATGCTGGAAGTGGTCACAGCAACCTTGGGGACAGAGACACAGGTAAAAGTTTGCCTCCACCTGACGTGCCGGCCTTCCTCCTTTGCCACGCCTGGCTCCAGAAATGCTGAGCAAGAGCCATAAACTCACTTTTATGCATCACCTTCCCCTTACAGAGGCCACTCTGAGGGAGACGGCTGAAACCTTCTACTCCTGTAAGAATTCACAGCCCATGAAACCCGACGGAGTAGTTCTGCTTTGTCCTATAGGGTCTCTCTGAGTCAGAATCATCTTGACGATAGCCAGGTTGTTTGTTTTAATTCATTTCCGATTTTTCACTAGAACAAAGAATATTGCAATGAATGTTCTGTTCATGTTGTGCACATGTCTATTGTCTTCAGGGAAATTGGTAGCAGACTTTCCCTTAGAATGATGCCCTGAGTTGCTAAACTGCCTCCTAAGAATCTTCCAACGCCGTGCGCTCTTGCCAATAGAGTGAATTCAAGAATGTGCTCTTCCCCACGGTCTTTTCAATTCGGAGTATTAGCCCCTCAAAAATGTATTTTCAATTTTGAAAATTGTATCTCATTGTTTTAGCAAGCACATCTCTAACTGCAAACGAGGTTGGAAAGCAGCAGGGGAGCTATGGTGGAGGTCAGAGTGAGAGCAGCCAGACTCCCCATGAGGCTCTTTCCCAGGCCTCCTCCGGACTCCATAGGGAATTGAACACAGGTCTTCCAGTTCTCAGTTATCCTTCTAGTTCTTTCCCTAGTCTTCCAGGGATACTTGGAGATGAATCCCCTACCTTCTTCCCAGGTAGCATTGGATCCCAAGGTGAGAAAGCAGAGGCCCCAGGCTTCCCAGGAGAAGAGTGGATTTGTTGCTGCCCGCCCAGAGCCCTGGTTGAGAAGCTGTGACTCAGACGCTGACTCCAGGGTCGTATTCCCAACCTCAAATGTAAGAGCTTTTATTTTCCTTTGGATATTTTATTCACTGTATTATAACATGTCCAAAAGAGAAACTTTATTAGGAATTCTGATGGCTTAATTTGGGCCATTAACCAAAGACTGATGCAACTCTTTCTTCCCAGGGCTCTAAACGGAGATGGTGGGAGCCAAACAGGCCACTGTAAGGGGAAGGTGATACATAAAAGTGAGTTTATGGCTCTTGCTCAACATTTCTGGAGCCAGGCGTGGCAAAGGAGGCAGGCGGGTGGGGCGGGTGGAGGCAAACTTTTACCTGTGCCTCTGTCCCCAAGGTTGCTGTGACCACTTCCAGCCTGCACGGTTAGAGACTTCTGTTCTGGACAAGCCCTTCTCTATTTAAATAGACAATCCATCCTCAAGGTACCTATCTCTCATTTATCAACTCGTCGAGATGCATGAACCCTTTAGTTCCTGCTTCATACAACAAACTGTAAAACGAAACTGGAAGAGACAACAGGGGAAATGTGAACACTGGGTGAATACTGAATGATGGTAAAAGATTATCATTAATATGCTCAGGTGGGCTCGCTTGGGGCCTGGCTTCCAAGACATCAAAGAATAGGAACAACCAAGTTCAAGCCCAAACTCACTGCCAGAGATTCGAGTCTGACTCATGGTAGCAGAGTAGGGCAGGGTAGACCTGCTCCTTTAGTTTCCACAACTTTAGATCTTTATAGGAGTAGATAACCTCATCTTTCTCCCTTGAAGCAAGCAGCTGCTGGCTTCCAACTACTGGCCTGATGGTTAGCAGGTCAGAGTGTAGCTCACCTGAGCTCCTCAGGAGAAACAATGGGCATTCTTTGTGATGAAAAGGCTCATGGCCACTTGCAGCCAATTTGCTGCAGGAACTGCGCCTGTTACGTGCCCAAAGACAAAGCCATTAAGACATTGGTAATTCGAAAGGGAGTAGAGACCACAGATGTCAGGGACATTTCCTGAGCGAGTGTCTTCGATGCATACTTGCTTCTGTGTGTGAAGCTCCATCACTGTGGGAGTGTGCTCTTCACAGCAGAGTGGTCAGGGGCCATTCAGACCTCCACATGCTGGCCCATGCCACGTCTCCACCAGATCCAGGTAAGAGTTTGAGTCCTCAATGCCTGAAGAAAAACCCGAAAGAATAGAAAATGGGAATCATGCATTCTAGAGTGGCATAGTAGTTATGTGTTGGCCTGCTAAGCGCAAGGTCAGGAGATCAAAACCACCAGCCAGCTTCTCAGGAGAATATTGGGACTTTTCTACTCCTGTAAAGAGTTATCATCTCAGAAACTCATAGGAACAGTTTAGCAACCGTGTCCTAGAGGGTCGCTATCAGACAATTTATAAATTGTCTGATCGACTCGATGGCAGTGAGTTTGGTTTTATTTTTTTATAACATGTTAACTATGTCTGTACCAGACAGGTGGGAGTTCCCATGTGTCCATCTTTCTCCATCCCCACCCCCAGTATAATTGTGGAAAATATATTGAGAACTAAACAATAATGATTTGTTTGGGTGTAATATTACTATTGCAGTTGTGGGTTTTTTCAAGAATTCTTATCCTGAATGGATACAGGGAGTTGCCTCCAAAAATCCTAGGCGATGGAAACCAGATTGATCATGAGCTAAATTTTGGGGGAGGTGGGTTATATACCTAGAGTTCATTATGTTTTCTCTCTACTTTTGTTTGTTTTGAAGTTTTCCACTGAGAGAAAGAGAGCGAGATCAACTTCATGTTCATGATGTATTCTTCTGGGGGTTAAATAGTTAAGAAGTCAATCATTGCTACAGGTGGAAGAATGCTTAGGAAGAGAATGGCAAGAACAGTAGCACAGAGACTACTGGAACTTTAGACTGTGTTCTTTTGAGCCACACAGGATCCTTCCTAGGCCACACCAGAAGGGTTTCATGTGGAAACCCCACTAAGTGAATTGGGCTTTACCTCAAACTCACTTATAGCAGATTTATGAAATTGACATATTCCCTTGGATTTAGGCTGGAGCGCCCGAGTGTGAGAAGCAGCAGCTGACTGCTGTCCCAAAGGTATGGAATTGGCAGTCACTGGGCTTGGTTCAGATGCCATGCTTTAAGGGCACCCAATGAATGGCTGCCTGAGACTACCATATAGTTACTATTTTAATGCCCTCCTTGCTTTCTGATGACATGTATTAATCTTGTAGACATGGTTCTGCCTTTGTTAATGAGTGTTATTGAATATTTTGCCCTATCGCCAACCCCCATTATTTGTGTAAATGGTGTTCAGTTACTTAAGGGTTTAATCTGTGCAAATCAACAATTCATGTGCTGTACTCTGAAGCCAGCCTATACTTGTAAAATTACCTTTTTTCAAATGTTTTAAATTCTAACTTTTAAATACATATGTAAATTTAATATTTTAAAACTTACATTTTAAATGCCATGGCTAATTAATGACACTGTCAATATGCCCCAGGGGGATGATTTATAATGCTCTCTGTCATAAAATGAGAAGGATGTTTTTAAAATGAACCAGAGATGTATATAAATGATAGATATATGAATGGATTTGGACTCACACTTAATTCTAGCCCTAAAGAACAATTAGTTCTTGTGACCTGGCCTTGCTTGATGCTTGACCTCTTGAAGAGATCACTGGGTGCTATAGAAAAGTATGGTGAAGAAACCAGAGGGTGTCAACTATCAGAAAGAATAGCATCTGGGGTCTTAAAGGCTTGTCTTAACCAAGCAGCCATCTAAGTCCATATGGAAGAAGCACACCAGTCTGTGTGACCTAAGGATTCTCAATAATAAAACCCAAATCCAAAGAAGGGAATAATACCAGAGCTTAAACTGTGAACACCTGGTTGGCAGAAAGCGTTGGATGACAGTGGAAACCAAAAATCAATTTGTAGGGTTCCCCACATGGATTAACTCTCCAGTGAATCCCCCTGACCACGATCGAGGTGTATTAGTCCAGGTTGACTGAAGAAACAAATTCATTGACGCTTATATATGTGTAAGAAAGAGCTTTACAGTATATACAAGACCAATTGAATATTGAGAAAACATCCCAGCCCAGTCCAGATCAAGTCTGTAAGTCTGATATTAACCCATATGTCCAACACCAGTCTATAAATTTCTCTTCTGACTCACAAAATACATGCAACATCAAATGCAGGAAGATCACAGGCCAGTGGGTGGAAGATCTTGTGGATCCAGTGGTAGTTTAATCATCTCAGTCTCCATGTGGCTCCTCCAGCTCCAGGGCTCTATCATAAATCCATGTGTCTTATCATCAGGAATACGAAGCAGAGCTCGTGTATGTATCTGGTCTCCAGTGAGTTATTTATCTATGTGGTACCTCCAATTAGGTCATCGAGCTGTGACCTGATTGATAGGCTACACTCCACCTCTTTGCAAGTTGACAGGAGATTATGTAACTGCCATACGAGGGATGTAAATAGCCTTGCAATCATACAGAGAGCATTGTAAAGTCTATTATGGCACATGTAGTTAGGTTAAAATGTAATGCTCTATCATTTGAACTCACTTTTGACCCATTCTAAAGTTGTTTCAATTTTTAATATTTTCTGCTTTCTTTTTGATTGAGGTTGTTCTATGTTTTGTCTAGTTGTTTTTGTTTCGTTGGATTGTATGACTTTGTATAATTGTGTTTTATTTTGTATGATTTTCTGTATATGAAATTCAAGAAAGATAGATCTATAGAGACGGTAACTGAATGGGGGCATGGCAGAGGAGGATGAGGGGAAATTCGGAAGCTAACAACAATGAGTATGAGAAGAAAATGTTCTGAAGTTGGTTGTGGTAACTGTATAAATCTTAATATGATTGAGTAATTATGACATGTGACACATACGCCAGTAAAACTATTAAAAATGAATGGTAACACAACTTGAAGAATGTAACCATCACTGACTTGTGAGTGTAGAAATTGTTGAGAGGTGTATGTTTGATGTACGGCACAATAAAAGTAGAAGAATAAGAAGGTGTGTTGTGTTCAGTTGGGTTCTCTAGAGAAGCAAAAGCAGTGACAATGCTATGTGTGTGTGTATACACATTTATATCAAGAAATGGCTTCCATTAGCACAGCATTAACATAACGAGCTAGCCAGAACTCTAATCCCCAGAGCAAAGCCTAGGATTTTAATATAGTAAAATGGGAAAAGTCAACAGGTTCTGCTAGCCACAGCCCAAGCCAAAAACTGGCTTTACCAGTTTGGGGGTCCACAGAGAGTCTTTCTCTCTCTCGTTCTTTCATCTATATATTTAAACAGAGAGTCTTAAAAGGCTGAAAATTGTGACCAGACAGTCCAGACTAGGCCCGTGTCCATGCTATTGTCCCACCCCAACCGGCCAGTGGCATACCTACAGTCTCCTGCCTCAGCCCAGACTCCAAAGCCCCACCAACTACTTAGTCCCCACAGCACCCTGCCAACATAGAAGTCCAATCCACCACCATAGCAGACCACAGGTAGTCCTCAAAAATACTGTTACCAGTCACACAGAGAAAGAGTTCAGGGCCCCTTGGTCTCCCAGAAACATGGCGCCCAGTTCTTCCAAAATGACACACAAAGAGCAACATACCTCAACACCCTCAACAAGAAAATAAGAAAAGCAAAATGCAACAGCAAAGGAAGTTTAAACCTAATATCACTCATAGAAGAATCAAATGTTGATCTGCCACAAAAAGAAATCTTCAGAATGCTGCTTGGAGTAATACAGGAGATGAGGGACACAATGCAGGATGAGGACGCAATGATAGAGGAGATGAAGTCCACGATAGAGGGAATGAAGTCCATGCACCAAAGAGAAATACAAGAACTAATATTAGGATGAGGTCACACAAGCAAAAAGAGAAGGAGAATCATACAAGTGTTCTTGAAGATAATCGGGCAGACTTCAACAAACGAGAAAGACAATCAAACAAGATAATCTAAGAGGTGGAAGAAAATCTGAGAACAATGACAGATGCTATGAAGAAGGACAATATTAGAATAATTGGCCTGGCAGAACAAGACACAATGAAGAAGCCAACAGCTAAATCAGCAAGGGAATTTCTGGAAGTGAACTTTCCCACCATAATGAATGAGAATCAGACACTCATGAAAGAAGCAGCGAGGACACCAATTAGACTAAACCCCAGAACTCACCAGGGCATAATAGCTAAAATATCCAACTTTGAGGAAAAAGAGAAATTTTTAAGAATAGCAAGAGAAGAAAAGGCGATCACATACAATGGTGCTCAGGTAAGAATATGCTCAGACCTATCAGCAGATACCATGAAGAGGAGGAGAGAGTGGAGTAACATCTTCTGAAAGCTGAAAGAAAAAAAAACCAACCTGAGAATCCTCTACCCTGCAAAACTATCTATTAAGATAGAGGGTGAGGTAGGAGTTTTCCAGGACAAGGAAAAACTCAAAGAATACATCATAAGACACCCAGCCCTGTGGAAAATCCTTGCTGACTCACTATGGTCAGAAGACTAACCTCCATCAAGCACAAACAAGAGACTGCCGTATAACACAACTCTAACAACTCTACCCAGATGTCAATGCGCCGTAAACAATTGTCAAGATAACACTGCCTCAGAGGGAAACAAAGGCAAGAATGAAGCTCCCCACACAAACACAGCACAGTGATATGAAGGGAGGTAGGAAAACATCCAACACAAAATGTACGAGATGACAGCAATGAATCCACAGATGGTGATAATATCTCTGAATGTCAACAAACTCAACTCGCCAATTCAAAGACCAAGGTTAGCAAACTGGCTCAGAAAACATAACCCATCAATCTGTTGCCTGCAAGAGACACGTCTTAACCTTGCAGACAAAAATAGACTAAGAATAAAAGGCTGGCAGAAAATATACCAGGCAAATGGCAACTCAAAAAAAGCAGGGGTTGCAATCCTAATCTCCAACAAAATTGACCTCAAGGTGCACACCATAACAAGAGACAAGGAGGGGCACTACATAATGCACAAATTATCAGTAGACCAGGAATCAGGGAGCATAATAAATATATATATGCCTAATGAAAGGCCCACAAAATTTATCAAACAAACTATTCAAAAGATGAAAAGAGAAATCACAGATTAAACCATCGTAGTTGGTGACTTTAAAACACTGCTATCAGAGAAGGATAGATCCCTGGGAAAGAAGCTCAGCAAGGAGGCTACAGAGCTAAACACTACAATTAGGCAACTGGACCTGATAGACATTTATAGAGCTTTCCATCCAAATGCAAAAAAATTCCATTCATTTCAATTGCACATGGCTTATTTTTAAAATAGACCACATGCTGGGCCACAAATTGAGCCTGAGTGAATTCAAACACATCGAGATTACTGAGATGTCCCTCTCGGCCACCATGCCTTAAAGCTGGAGGTCAACAAAAGAATGACCAGAAAAAACAAGGGCAAACAATTGGAGGATAAATAACAATCTTTTGTGACTGGCCCAGATTAGAGAGGAAATTAGGAAGTTTCTAGAAACTAATGAGAATCAGAATACAACATACCAAAACCTATGGGATACAGCAAAAACAGTTATCAGAGAAAGTTTGATAGCTATAAATGCATATATGAAAATGGAGGAGAGACTTATGACTGATATACTATCACAAACCCTCCAGCAACTAGAACAGAGTGAACAGACAACCCCTCTATATTAGACAGGGTTCTCTAGAGAAACAAAACCAGGACAGTTATGACTTTATATACATTTAAATAGATAGATAAATAAACAGATAATTAGTTTATAGAGCAGTACAAATGGCTCAGTGCAACTCGCTTTCATGAGATAGCTAATACACTGACAGTCCTTCAATTCTTGAGGGCTGCCAGGTGCAAGTCAAGGAAGCAGACAGCTGAGTTCTCTGTAGAGCATTTCAGGCTATCCAGACACAGGCAGCAAACAGCAAGGCAGGTCACCAACAGTCAGCCAGATGACAGGGTCTGACAGTCCCCAGCTCAAGCGATGTATATTAGAGTAGTGTGGCGAAGCAGGTCTTGAAGGAACCTCAAACTACAGTGACACAGTCTACAGGTGGTGTCCCACAGGTAGCGTAGCTTTCAAGTTGAGGCAGAGAACCAGCTAAAGCAGCAGCACACTCGTCTGATCATCAAAGAGCAAGAGACAAGAAAGGCGAGGCTCACCAAGCCATTTATCTCTCTGTCCCTAAGTTAATCCCACATGTGTTCATTGACCAGGTTGGCACAATAAACCTACCTATCACACCCTCCAATAGCAAAAGAAAAATAATAAAAATCAGGGCAGAGTTAAACGAGTGAGAAGACAAGAGAAAAATGCAAAAAAATCAATGCAGCAAA